TAAGCGGTAGAGCCACGCTGTAACAATATTATAGTTGTAACACGAATGGGTCGGCTCGACCGGGGAACGACCACGCTCTGACAGAATACAGAGTTTCGTATGGTAGGTGTAGAGATCCGGAGACCTTTTTTACTGGAAACGAGGCATCCCATCTTAGTCATTAGGGTTACAACACATCTGCACTTTGATCCTTAATCGAGGATAAATGTAGATTCTATAAACCACATCATCAACCTTCCATCAGGTGGACTGTGTGCTCTTTCGTCACCTATAATCTTTTAAACAAGCGAGCGTACAGTCCACTTGCTGGTAAGTGGATGTTGTGGTTTATAGACATCCTTGATTAAGAATCATAATGCAGATGGGTTACATGAATTCTATCACAATCCTCAGGGGTGTCTCGTTGGTATTGGAAAATTCAGAATGTTTCGTTAGTCATAAAAAGACTAGGCTGGATACTGGATGCAGTGACGAATTGGTAAGACGTGCAAAAATTCAACGGCATATATCGATGAAGAGGTCGAGTCAATGCAGCTTAGGACCGTGGTTTGTGGTGTTCCATGGTTTGTTATGATAATGATGTAAGCTCAGCAACGACTTAAGTTTGTCGTCAAAAAACGTTTACAATTAATGTATAGATATAATATTTTTCATAAAAATCAAAACGATTAACTTACCCAAAACGATTTTTTGAAGTTAAAATAACTTTACTTCGTTAATACTGTAGGTTTAATTTATGAATAATAAGAACTCAGACTAAAACAATTTATTTTAAATTTGCGCTCAAGATTATATTCCATTTACAGTAAAGTGGCGCCGAAGACAAACGGGTGACTGGTGAGCAATTAGTGAGCATAGGCTGGCCGTAACTACAAAGGACTCTTCTTTTCACTTAATTAAAAAGAAGACGAAACGAAGTCAAGAAGAATCGCTGTATAAAATACTGCTGGCAGTTTTAATGAGCTATAACACAAAGTATGATTTCAATAATACTAGAATAAATCCAAATTTTATGAATGTATATTTTTAATTAGATAGGTTTGAATTATGTAAATTTATAGAATAAAAGTTTATTTTTGTTACGGAGTCGAATAAATTAAATCCTCTCTGAACCTAAATGAAAAATGTTCGTCTAGAATTTATTTGATTAGTTGAAAATACATCTCCTTTAAATACATCAGGACGAATATTTATCTTAACTCTTTTATGAATGTAATAATGAAAACTTTTTGCTATTTTTTTAAATATTCTTCAATATTAAAACAGATACTTATTTTTCATTATGAAGTTTTGGGTTTTTTCTTTGTTAAAAAGGACGTAGTAAAAAAGCAAAAACCTTTTATGTACACATAGTTGTTTTTAAAGAATGTAAGTTTAAGAAGCTAATTGGGCCACATAGAGTCATGTTCTCAGTAAAATCGGTGAAAAATTTAAATATATTTTATGTTCAGCAGTGGAATTTATTGATCTCTTACTTCTATTTCTTATATAAACTTGTTTGACAATTGTCCTTTTTGTTACCATTATTGATATGTCGTTAACAATAATTTAACTTGTGATGCAATCAAATGCATAAATAAATACCTATTTTAATCGCTAACAGTATAATCCTTCAATAATTTAACTGTCGATATTTTAAGAGGATATAAAAAGATGTAATTTAATTTAAAATTTAATTAAATACATGAGGTTTGCACACACGAGACCAGGAATTAAGAAAAATATGACATTAAATGGCATAAGATATTTGTTTAAAAAATATCTGATTAAATTAGACTTATATTCGCAGTTTTTTTTAATAATAAGGTTATTAAACAGCACATACCTCCTGATGGTAAGTGTATTGTATGTCTCAAAGACATCTAACTCTATCATCGATTAAAAATCATAATGGAGATGCGTTGTCACCCCCGGGGACTAAGATGGAGTGCTTTATAGTCAAAAGAGTATCCGGTTCTGTACACTCACCATACGAAACTCCTCAGAATTATTCAGCAGTATCGCGCTGGTGTTATGTGAAAACATGGTCCCACCCTAGTCGAGCCGATCCATTCGTGCCGCAAGTATGTAGCATAGCTGCACCATGGCTCTATCACGTAAAGTCAATTAGTTAACATACCCTTAGTAAACATCAACTCAAGCAATGTAGATAAGTCATGTCATATCATGTCATTTTTGTAACATTACTATGTGCACTAATTAATGTAATGAACGTATAAAGCACATTGTTTAGTTTTGAAGCATTCGAAAATGATCGAGGCTGGAGGTCAACTCTAAAGTGATTTACAACTGAATGCTGCGTTGCTTGTGATTTATTAAATGTAAATGATATTCTTTATTTTTGTCTCCTACTGTACGACTGTGTAAAGACTTTGTATTAAATTTTAACGCATAGTTCGTTGTATTGTGTAAGTTTATCAATTTCTATAATATTAATATCTTATTTGAGGTAACAATACGTAAATAATCAATATGACGCAGTTGCAGAATGAACACCAGCAGAGTTCAACGAAATCACTTCTGAACTTGAAAAGTGAAATACGACCAGGTTAAAAATATACTTATTTATTTATTCATCCAAAAATATCACTACCATTACTGGATCTTACGACCTGATACGCTAGTATAAATTGTTTAATTATTATCACATATAAGTAATGCTGCCTCTTGAATTATTTATTCAGACAACTGACACTGATGGGCCCAGATCTCTTCTAACTTCTGTGAGAGACTACAGACTTCACATGTCTGTGTGTTTGTCACATACTTATATATAAATTAATAATTGTAAAAAATATTAAAAATAAAGAAGAGTAGTATCATAGAAGTCTGGACATAGTATTTCATAAATACATCGAACGGAATGGTGTCCTTCGAGTTGGCCAAACTCACGACCCTGACCCAATGACACCAACTCGCCTAGTTGCGCAGAGCTAGCATCCGAGACTTTGTAATGCTGATCTACATTACTTGCCTGTGCTACTTGAATAGGCCATTTTGTAGGGATAATTCGGTACTGATTTTTGTCATTAATCGATCGTCAGAATCGTACAGATGAAAATAAATTTGGATAAACTGTTTACATACATATAATTATTTCGTTATTTTTGTTTAATGTAGTATCGTAATAATTTTGAATAAATCAGGTTCGACTATGTGGCTCAGTTAACTATATACATATTCACTACCATTTTGCAGTCTGGAATATTATGTATTTAACAATAGCGGAGCCTGCACATATCATTAAGGCTTGCAGGTGAGTTTCATCATTTCGTTCCTTACTTACTGTAGCACGTCGACTATTGCTACGTATTAAATGAAATTCAGAACAATCAGCAACAATTAAAAGAAAGAGGATCAAAATTCATTGATCAGTTTAAATAGCTAATTAAGTACAGTTATATCGTTTAAAAAATGCGCGCATAAGATTAGTAAAAAATACATCCATAAAGTTTATATCGAAAAACTCAATCTAATGTGCTATATTATGTTGCAAGGTACTTCGTTATAACTTTTCCATGCTCCCTCGCGGGATCTTTTAGCAAAAGACAAATCCCCCATCTTCCTCATTAGGATAGACACACCGCACGGGTACACAGGGCAGGTTTTGCTACACGGGATTCATATTCATCTGCGCAACGGACCCCGACTTGGGTTCATAACGCAGAGATCACAAGTCCTCCCACCAACGGTTCTAAAAGCCCCCCATCAGCGGTTGGTTCTCGTCAGAGTCGAGTTGTAGGGGATAGAGCGAGTGGCGAAACTCCTATTACCCAAGACCTAAAGCCACTATAAGTAGTAGTAGGACTCTAGTTTGAGGAAGATATTTCTTGCTGAATTTAAACATTTTGACTTCACTCATAGAGAACACTAGAAAATTTATAATCGCAATTGTTATAACACAGTGAAAATTCATTTTCAATTACTCAGGATACACATTTACTTGTGTTACTTAATATAATTTTAAGTCATTTACTAAATCAACTTTACGGATTCTCCTTACAAAATCATCAGGGAATCGGGCTTTTTAAGTAGCAAGACTGTTTCTACAGGTATGGTATTTGTTCTTGTAGTATTATGTATTAAAGTAATATGTACAAGTACATTATACTTTAATGCTTAAGACTTTATTTTAGATGATCGATGGAATTTAAAGAAAAATGAGTAAGGTTGACAAGTGAGCTTACAGTCCATCTGATAGTATGTGGATACTGCGACCCATAAACATCTCCATCAATCATCGACTAAGAATCAAAATGCCCCTTTGTTCTTTGAGGACTAAGATGGAATGCCCCGTTACCAGTAAAAGGGATCTCCGGTTCTCTACATACGAAAAAATATTATTCTGCTGTATCATGCTGGTATTTTGTGAGAGCCTGGTCCTACCCTGGTCGAATCGCCCCACTCGTGCTACGACCATAATAAGTAGCATGGCTCTACCACGTCATTGTTAGAGCATTAACTTTTTGCTATTAAATTTATAGTCAATCGTATAACAGCATTGTCAAGGTGTCTATGACTATCTTCAAACTAAGAAAGTTCTGTATTTTTTATCTAAAGGATTCTGTTCCAAATAAAAGATAAAAGTGGAATAGCAAGATTTATTTAAATCAATATAATAAAATTAAAACTATTAATTACCGAAAAACAACATTATATCATTTATCATTTGATAAAGTGTCAACACTTACTTATTTGTGCTATTTACAGAAGTGTATATAAGTATTTCAGTTATTGATACGAGTATATTATCGAATTAAAATGGCCAAAAACTAAGCAAACGCTATAACAAAGCTCTCTCGTTTGTTAGTTATTCCTAGAAATGGTTTTTATTAGCATATTTTTAAGTATCTATTATAAATATAGAGATAGAGATTACAATTTTTTTTTAATTCAATTACAATAACAAAGCAGGGTAAAAAGCTAACACATTGAAACTGCATAATATTTCATTAGATTTATGAAATAAAAAAAGTTATTGCGCGGGCAATAATAGCATTTTACGATCCATCTTCCACATCTTGAAAACTTCTTATTAATGTTACAAGAGAGAAAGCAGATTTTACAATCTGAAAAGTAAAAATAGAACACAGACAAAAAAATTTAAAAATAAGTTTAAGTTTAAGGAATTATTTTAACTTACTAGAATATTCTTACCGTAATAAATGTATCCAGTGATAATAAGAACATTTTCATGCCTATCATTTTCAATGGCGTATTTGCATGCTCCATTAAAATAACGATGCTGCGTTTGAATTTTTGGCACCTATTTATCCAGTCGCAACTATACGCTGCAAATACTAATTCCCGACTCTGAAAATTCAATATATTTATATATAGGCTGCTTAACCTCATTATACTAAACAAAGAAAACGTAGTTAACAAATCTAGAGATTATTATTAATAAATGAGCAGAGGTCTGCAGTTTCAGCCGTGGGATGATTAGAGGTTGTAATTTTAAATTTTACTATTCCATATTTGCCGTATATTGGCGGCTTAAGAGAATCCACTACTCCATATAATTCCGTGGGCGGAAGGAAAGGTGATGAGTCACAGAATCTTCCAAATAATACCTCAAAAATGAAAAAAAAACTGTAGTCGTCATTTCATGCGTTAAGCACTGCAACTATGGAACATTTTCAGATGGGCTTGTAATGAGCTGTAATCAATGTATAAAAAATTAATGTAAATTTTTGATACGAGTAAAACTTTTAGTGTTACGAACTCGCCATTTTACCTCGTATATAAGTTGACTTCCCAGCCATGAGTAAAAAAATGTAGGTGCAGCCAATGAAATTAAGTATGTTACCATAAATATCAAATTATCCATTGTTGATGGCTTAAAAAAAAGTTATCATTAGACATTTTAACTTTTTACGGTGTTTTTAGTAATAATTAGACTTGCAACGAATATTTTTAGAATACCGAATATTCTGTCGGCTACCTGGCCGAATAGCCAAATATTAGGCAAAAGTATTGAGCCGGGATAAAAATGGTGTTTATTCAGAGCGTCTTGTTTCTGAAGCTGGGATTACCTACGAGAAGAAACGGACTAAATTCCGAAAATGCAGAAAAATTGTCATTATGCGCCATAATCTTTCACTCTAATTACGATAATTCAAGTGCATGGACATTTATCGGATTGTTTTTTTTTTTAATTTTTATGATATGGCAGTTGATTATGTACTTGTGACTACGATTATAAAAAATACGATGATAAAATAAAACAACCACTTCTTACCTGATATAAATTCATCCTATATAATATGTAAATTCATTTAGGATTCATAGGAATAATATATATATATATATATATATATATATATATATATATATATATATATATATATATATATATATATATATATATATATATCTAGATTAATAGGATGAAAGTAGCCGAATAGGCTGAATACCGAATATTCCAGCAACAAATTCATTAGATCAATCATTCATAAAAGTAATTTGATTTAATATAAATTTGATAAAAAATAACGAATGAATGATTAGTATATGTCAATAGCATTCCTTATATTATGTTGCATATTTTTTATTATAGAGATCAGGATAAAATTCCTTTAAAATTCGAGATTAAATGGCGTATTAAAAATGTAGGGGAATCCGGAAGTTTCTAATGTCGATTTCTCCAGGAGTAGCATCTGCGTGTGGTTATTTGTCGAATTAAGAATTGTTTCATGTTTTTACTCGGTTAAAAATATTAGTAGTAAATAGATATTAGAACTGCATAGTCATACATTATTAGAATATTGAAATCTAATATACTGAACAGTAGATAAATCTAATTGGAAAAAAGTGTCGATTTTGTTTTTTCGTAAAATTAATAGCATAACGAGTTCGGATCCCTGAATAACGTTACAGTTCTTCTGGAGCATTGAAGTTTTTTTTCATACACGTAAAAGTGACTAAAGGGCACAAAGACTACCGTACCTTTATTTACGACAGAAAATAAAATTCTAGATGCATAAAAAAGTTTTCCAATCTCGCCCACAACACGAAACATTAACTGCTGCAGCAGCATTATACTGCTGTTTTATTAGCTACAAGAGACTGATGTTCTGTTAGGGCGTGGTCCTCTTCTGGTTGAGCCATCCATTTCGTGATGTAGCCATAATAAAGCTTTAGCGAGGGTCTAACTATGTAAAAATATTACAAAATACAGGATAAAAGTAACGTATTAAAAAGACAAATACTAAATAAAATCCACATAGAGTAACGCAGATTATCGCTGACGCCATTCCAAACACAACGAACAATGTGATACTTGATATTTCTTGAATGTTTGCTTGAAACCTGAAAAAAAAACAGTAAAATGCTATTATAGTTGCTACATTATAAAATATTGGTATTAATTTAATATTACATACATTATTATTTTATTATAATGTCCTAAGCATTGCTTAAGTTTTAACATTTGAAGATTTTCTTGAAACTCTTTACTATATCTCAGTTCATTCGAATTTATTTTCAAATTATTTAACTTGTATTTAAGTACCTTAAGTTGAGTAATCGTTAAAAATATAAGACCAGCTACAAATGTATCAACGTTGATGTTGTACATCATGTGGCCATATATGAAAATACCTTGATATAAGTAACATAAAACAAAGTATTTTTCCCGAACCTCATCGTTGAGTAAGCTATAGTTAGATATGGGCAACCCAAGATGAGTACCCCAAATAAAATGTATAAAAATTGGTACTACTACTCTTAACATAAACGATATATTACAAGAAAAATTATATGTTTTGTAACAAGTTCTGTATGTTGACAAATCTTTCTGTATTATTTCGGTAGTTATATCATCCGTACCCTTAAATTCTTCACAATCTAGAATTTTCAATACGTCTATAATTTGCTTTCTTTTGAATATAACCATATACACTTTTGACATAATCGTTACTTCGTTGAAATAGAAAATAACTTCTGAAATTAATTCGTTTATTCGATTATATGTATAAAATAAATTAATAGTTAAAATCACGTTATACGTAATAAGTGTAAGAATTGTATAAATGACGGAAATTAAAGCGTAATATTTAATTGAGTTTGCTTGCGGCCATATTCCGAAAAAATTCCAAACTAAAATGTTACTACGAAAACACTCAGAATTATGCTTGATTGCCATGACGCCACTTTCACGTAACTTGATAGAAGTTGCAGTTGCACGAAGCCTGTTTCAATGTCCGAGGAGTGAAATTTTATATAACCTACTATTAAGTATTTATGTCGTGGAAAGTTAATAGATTATTCATTTTAATGCTATACTGTGGGTATGAATTATTTGCTCAAGTAGTTTTTAATTTTTTATGTGCTTCATTACAAAAAAATATATTAAAAGACAATAGTGAATTGTAACACCATTTTTCATAGAGAACATTATAAATGTTGGAACTAAATTAAAGAGTTATAATTAAAATAATAGTGTGAGAATGGATGTTCAACTTGTTATGCTGCCTACACTTTTAGTTGTTATCTTTATATAAAAATCAATTCTTGTCGGTTAGTCTTGACAAAACACAAAAACGGCTCGACCAATTTTGATGAATTTTTTTGTATGTATTTGAATAGGTCCCCAGATGGTCTATTCCCATTTGAACACGGTAGGTGCCGTGGGAAGCCAGGGCGGATCGCTGGACAGCAATAAAACTCGGTTCTTAGAGCAATAGTATTTTTAAGCCTGCCTTTTTTACACAGTTTACAATCATTAAAGTTATACAATATACAACACAATACAAATTAGATATAGCATGGTAGCGATCTCTTAATTCCCAGGGGTTATTACCATCCATAAATCCCTTAATATTATAATAACCCTTTTTATATAATCTTTGTTTAATAAAGTTTTTACATTTAGCGGATGTCAGAATTTGCATATTTTCTGGGATTTTGTTGTTAAAGCGTATACATCGCCTCAAGAATGAATTACTGACTCTGTCGATTTGAGTAACCGGTACTAACACTTATAATCATATATAAGTGTAATGCCATGGACGTAATTACATAGTCACTTACTCCTCTGGTGCAGCGTGAGTCTTGGCATCGGCCTCCGACACGAGAACAGCGTACGCAGGTCAGCTTCCATCCACTAGAGCGATATTTGGGTCGGCCAACTGGACGTCGGCCAGTTGATCGACTCAAATATTCCCCCTTTGTACTTCGATTGTCGCTCATATGCTCATACGTGACTGAGTCACCGGAGGAGATGAGCTTTTATTTCTCCAATGATTTTGGGCTCGGCCATGAGATTTTATATTTCGGAGTTTTTCCGGACTCTCCAGCTGCTATCCTCCTTTAGAACTGGGCTAAACATCCTTCTTTTTCCTTTCGGCTACTTCGAGATCGTTCTCTTAATGCCATGTTAGTGCCCGGACCTCACAAACATGTCAAAATATTGGATTGAATTTTTGTTTTTCTACTGAGAAACCTGGGCCCTAGGCAATTTATGCAGGGCTGCAATATATTTTTAGTCATTCTGTACGCATAATTCAATTTCCCCTTGTCTGGTGTTAATTCCCGTAACAATGCAACGTATATACATAAACTTAACCAGTCCCCTATACTTTGTATTTCCAAAAAATAGATCTTGGCATTGAATGTGAGTGTTTTTGTAGCACTTAATGCTTCCTTTAAATTGCTTTCCTTTCTTGCTTCCGCTTCCTCCATCCTGGTGGCTTCTGCAATCTGATCGTGGCTTTTATCTTACAGGGCATGATCGTCAGCATACCCTATCACCTTGTTTTTCGTTCAACTCCGGTCCCAATCTATAGCAAGTACCTTTCATAAGACATGTAATTACATGATAACACCAAAATAGATTAAGTATGGAAGCCAACTGAAACACTGCCTATCTGGATGTGACACAGAGCAAGTCTCTCCACAGCAGAACCTGCTTGGCTTGTACGGTGATTTTTATATGTAATACAATTATTATATTTAGTATAAGTTCCCCAACATCGGACGAAAAATGTGTCTTATGGCTTATGGGTGTGGTTTTGCTTATTTTCTGAAACTTATGCGTACATACATATAACACGTCCCTTTCCTGTGAAAGTTTAACGTACAACGCACATATACCGTAATGGTTGCGCTCATTAGTGCTGCCCTGAAGAGCTCTCAGGACACACAGATAGTGAACGTAACAATATGCACACAAACTGTTTTTATTAAACAAATCAAAACTTAGAACGTTACTGTGTGAAGAAAGACTGGTATTAAAAAAGTGGAGGTTCTGAATTCATCAGTATGACACTTTTATATATGTTTTTGATATAACATATAGAAGTTAAATATAGATTTAAAACCCAATTTAAATTAAAAAATAGTTTATACTTCAGAGTAAGAAAAATAGGTGATGAAGCTTTTGATGTGATTTTTCAAACTCCACTCAAAAGGTAAAAAGGTTTTCAAGTTTTCGAATAAAATAAAAACTGAACCAAAAAGAAAGAAAAAAATCTACATAAAAGCTTCGCAATTCTAGCACTTTGACTCTTAAGTACATTAAATCTTATCAAAGACTTTAGAAGCTACATTGTTACAAATAACTCCGCATTTTTTGAATTTCTTATTCTTGAGGAATGTGTGAAGGAAACAAAATCTGTGTTTTGAATGAATTAATGAATTATTTCTGGTTTCTGGATAATTTAGGGATGGAATACTCTCACCACATCATCGTGGGCGATTTTAAAACGGATCTGTTGGCTTCAAATAGTCGAGGCAGTCGGCCTCCATTTTCTTAATTTACAAGTCACTTAATACAATACTGGCGGAGAGAACACTTCGAACAGCTTAATCCTTATATATCCTCTTCTCCTGTTGTTACCTGAAACTTTCTTGGAACGGTTGGTATTGGAAAATTTTGTTTTTTAGGGGCCAATTGGTTTGTATGCATCAAACCAAACCAAGTGCCAATATAAATTCTATAATGGGTTAACCTCGTCTTAATATCACTCCTTTACACTTTTGTCCAAAAGCCACGAAGGATATCATAATTTCTCTCATTGAAATAATACTAGTTTTTACGGAATTTATCGCGTATATTTAACTTTTTAAATACCCGACGTTTCGAACGCTTTACAGCACTCATGACCAGCATTACCACCATAAATTATAGGCCAATTTCCTTAACTACTGTACCAACTAAAGTTCTTGACGGTGTTCTTGAGCGTGGGGTGACTAGACAGCTCAATTTACATGATGCTCAATTCAGTTTTAGAGTTGGGCTGTCTACTGAAACTCCTACTTTGGCGATTAAGCGCACAATCTGGTACTATACCGATAGAAATACAGCCATGTATGCTGCATTTTTTTGAAATAATACTAGTTTTTACGGAATTTATCGCGTATATTTAACTTTTTAAATACCCGACGTTTCGAGAGCTTTACAGCACCCATGGTTACGGGAAGGACTGAGATGTTCAACGTCCAGATGTCATAGTTAACCGCGGTTACCATAGATCAAAATTTAACTTTTGTTCCGATCTATGCAGTATGAACTTATGGTATCTTGAAGTCTCGCAGTTGTATGCTTGGGTTGGGATTTAATTTTATTTATTATAGGATCCCAAGCAGATGGTAGCACCCAGCCATCTTCTCTATTGAAATTAGGATGATTTTTGATTTCAATAGCCTCGCGAATCATCCTTGGAAGGAATCGGTGTTGGGAAGGGATCGCCCCCGTCACTACATCAGATTTGATAGACCGCAAATCCTCGCTAAAGAACAGCGGGGTCAAATTGCATGACCTTGGTGGCCAATTCACATCACCCCTGCGAAATGTAAGCTTTCTCTCAAATCGCTCGTCGAAAAGGTCTATCTTGGTATCTGGTGTGTAGCGCGTAGCGTCGTCCTGCTGAAATCACATATCGTCTAGGCCCATAGGGTTCAATTTAGGCCATAATTTACGTATTGGTTATCATCGTTCTGTAGCGCTCGCCGTTGATGGTGACCGCCTTACCAGCGTTGTTTTCGAAAACGTACGGGCCAATGACAACACCGGTTCAAAATCCACACCAAACGGTGACTTTTTGGAGGATGGATTATCACCTGGTGGTCTTAGCGTGGGTCGGTGTCTCATATTCGGCAATTCCTCTCTCTAGAGATGATTTTTCGGTCAAAATTGGGGCCCTATTAAAAACGATTCGAAGCACAGCATGAACTTTGAGTTCCTGGGTCAGTTTGATCTTTTAAATTATTTTAAGTTTTTAATTAACCTTAATAACTAAGATCTTAAGCTAATGTAAGTATACCTAAGTAGGTTTGAGTCTTATATAGAATATGCAAAAACATTGATAGGAAGACAGCTGCACGAGTATAAGAAGAAAAGTGCAAGCTGCAATCATTTTACTATATTCCTGAGAGATCTATTTTCCATTACGCTGATGACCGCTTCTTGGCGGTTAATGCATACAAAATAAATTACTTTAGTTAACTAGGAATCCCAAGTACTTACTTTTTTCATTATGTTTTTTAAAGTTTCACGGTTTGAATATAAGAGAGAATTAACAATTCTTTAATTAATTATACAATATAAAAGTAATAAAGAAGTAAATTCAGCAGCAAATT